AGGAAGCAAGAGCAATTTTTAAATTCCATAAAGCATAAAAACAGATGTAAAGCCAAACCTGGTGGCACACACCTGTAGTTCAAGCTGAGATTTGTCTGGAGAATCTCTTGAGCTCACAAGTTCAACTACCCTGGGCAACATGGTGAGAGCCCATGTTAAAAAAAAACAAATTTTTAAAAAGTAGAGGTTAAGACCAGGTGTGGTGGTACATGCCTCTAACCCCAGCACTCAGAGGCAGAGGCAGTTGGATCTCTATGAGTTGAAGGCCAGCATGGTCTACAAAGTGAGTTCCAGGCCAGCTGGGGCTACATAGAGACCTTGTCTCAAAAACACCCCCCCCAAAAAGAAGAAGAAGAAGAAGAAGAAGAAGAAGAAGAAGAAGAAGAAGTAGAGGCTAGAGATGTAGCGCAATGGTAAAGTGCTTATCTAGCATGTGTAAGGCCCTGGGTTAAATACTCAACACTGAAAAGACAAATCCTAAAATGTATAAAATATAACCTTTATTAATGGTGCAATTAAACGCAATGTTTATTTTCTGTCAGTATCTAAATGCTGTGGCTTTAATTTTTAAAGGGATAAAGATTTTTTTCTCAAAAAATAAAGATATAACTACTTTAAGATTATTCTTTTTGAAATAAGTCACTTTCCATTTAATTTAGGTACTGAGTATATTTTGTGTGTATGTGTTTGTGTGTGCACAAGTGCATGTGTGGGTGAGTGTGTGGGGCAGGACTCAACCTTGGATTTCTTCCTAAACCACTATTTGCCCTGTTTTTTTGAGACATGGTCTCTCACTGGCCTGGGTATTGCCTATTTGAATAGGCTGGTTGGTCAGTGGAGCCCCAGGGATCCAGCTGTTTCTTCCTGCCCAGCTCTGAGATTACAAGCATACTACACTTAGCTTTTTCACATGAGTTTTGGGGATTGAACTCATGGCTTGCATGGTAGCACTTCACTGACTAAGCCATCTCCCAGTCCCTGAATATATTATAGGGTTTTTTTATGTTTTAAAAACGTCATCATGTAAAGAATATATAACTCTCTAACTAGAATAACTTATCAATCAAAATAATTCATTTTTACTTGGTATGGGGGTGCACATTTGTAATCCCTGCACCCAGGAGGCTGAGGCAGGATGACCCTAAGTTTGAGAACAGTCTGGGCTACACAGTGAGTTAGAAGTCAGCTTAGGCTATACAGAAAGACCCTACTTCAAAACTAAAAAAATAAGGGGGCTGGAGAGATGGCTCAGTGGTTAAGAGTGCTGGCTGCTCTTGTGGAGGACCGGATACTATTCCCAGAACCCACACGGCAGTTAACTGTCCATAACTCCAGTTCCAGGGGAATCTAACTTGGGTGCTGCATGACACAGGTGCATGTCCATACATTCATACACATAAAAAAATAAATATTTAAAAAAAATAAAACAACTACCATGGCCACAAAAATTTCACTTCCCAAATCTATCAGGTAATGAGCATTTAATGTGCCTTCTCATATCACCTTCATGTCTCCCATAAAAAGTTTCATTTCTGGGGCTGGAGAGATGGCTCAGTGGTTGAGAGCACTGGCTACTCTTGCAGAAGACTCAGGTTCGGTTCCCAGCACCTACACAGTGGCTAACAACCATCCTAGCTTCAGTTCCAGAGCATCTGATGCCTTCTTCTAACCTCCATGGGCACTGCATGATACAGGTGTACCTACCTACATGGAGGCAATACACTCATACACATAAAAATAAAAAAAAAATTCTTTTGGTCTTTTTGAGACAGGGTCTCCCTGTAGCCCAAGCTGTCCTGGAACTCATAGAGATCCGCCTGCTTCTGCCTCCCGAGTGCTGGGACTACAGGTGTGCGCCACCATGCCCGGCAAAAATAAACATTTTTTAAAATAATTTTTAAAAATTTCATTTCTTTTCAGGATTACCAACTGATCATAACTTCAAAACCACTTTCCATCATGCTCCAGTATCTACATGTTGTCATTTAAAATTTAAAGGGATAGAATCTTCTTTTCACAACCTGTGAAAATAAAGACAATGCAGAGTTTTAGATCTGAGAAATATCACTCAAAACCCCTAAACTGAGTTTGAGTCAGCAGTGCACACAGTGAAAACATGGACCAGGGCAGACTAAGCACTGGGCCTGTATCCAGGATGCTGAGAGCGCCAGGTGATGCTGTTCCATCTGCTCTGCCTCTGATCTTCCAGGTGGTCTTGAGGCTGTTTGTATCAGGAAACACCTGGACCCAAGAGGCCCTGGAGGTATAAGGTAATACATAGGTAGGGATGTAGGGTTATGCTTAGGTGACTTCGAAGGCAACTTGTGCTGCAGATTTCTTTGCCCTGTGCGTGGAGGAGAGTCACTCCTTTGCCTTTCTCAAAGGATTTCAGGCTGTTTCCAGGAGGATGAATTTTGGTGATAAAGGGCTCCCTGCAATCCTCCTGCTTCCTGAGTACTGGTACTACAGGTGTGTGGCAGCACACCTAGCAGCAAGGCTTGATTTAATGAGGAAGAGGCAGGAAGAAACACATAACAGCACTGTCAACCTCAGTTTAGGATGGACAGGATTAAAATGCATGGTAGTACTAAAGTGTTGCAGCAAACGGGTGGAGGTGGTAGTGATAAACCCAGAAGGCTTAACTAAGGCCATCTATTCACACAATAGTGATTTTAATTCTCTGTTCATAAGGGATCTCTGAACAAAGCAACTTCTTGTAATGGACCATCTTTCTATGCACTAAGGAAAAAAAATCACAAAATAATGCCCTGGATTACTGAAGCGGAATTGCGGAGACCTGTCATAAACCTTGGGATGCTGAGTCCTAAAACATTTTACAGTTTGGGCACACATTTCTCTCAGAAACTGGACAATCTCTCAGGAGCAGTTTCTGTTTTAGTCTTTATTCCTATTCTCTACTTGCAGAATTAGAAACTCACACGGGTTTAAATTGAAGACTTGCTACTTGTTAGAATTTTTGAATGATTTGAAGTGTCAGTTTTCAGTGCAATTGATATTCCCTATCACTGTATCCATCATAGACATATCCTATAGTGTAGACAATGGATGGCTGAATTGGCTATATCTCTGTTCTTAGGCCATAAGATTTATTATGTTTACTTAAGATATCTCTCAGGTTTTTAGAAAGGTGTGGAGCCATCTTGCCTGCCCCAGTTCTCAAGTCTTCATGGGTGTATCTGTCCCATCATGGTGCTGAGGTCATTTTCAGTGACTCCATTTTCATAGCTCCCTTCTCCAGCAACAAAAGAGCTCTGGAACCAGGAAGTCTGGAATTACATCATTCTGACAAACTAGATGTTCAATAATTGCCCAGCAAATTTATCCAGGCCTGTAGCATGCCTGGAGTTTGCAGCTACTTGGAATGCTGAGGCAGAACGATTGCTTGAATCCAGGGCTTGGGACTAACCTGGACAACATAGCAAGACCCCTCCACCCCCATCTTTTTAAAATTTTTTTTAAAATTTATTTTTTATTTAATGTTTGTGAATATTTTGCTTGCATGTAAGTGCACCACGTGCATGCAATGCCCATAGAAGCCAGAAGAGGGCGTCAGATCCCCTGGAACTAAAGTTATGGGTGGTTGTTAGCCTCCATCTGGGTCCTGGGAGGCAAACCCAGGTCCTCTGCAAGAGCAGCCAGTGCTTTAACTACTGAGCCATCTCTCCAGGCCCTTGAGTTGTTCTTTGAAGATTATGATTAAGCTTATCAGAACAGGAGCATAAAGGGGGTTCCAAGCTGAAGGAATCCCACGCAAAGACAGAAAGCGAACAGGGAGGTACTTGAGCCCCAAATGCCTGCAGAGTTGCCTCAGCGTAGGGCTCACTGCAGGGAGAAACCTTAAGGACTCTGGGAGAGTGTGCTGGGTGGAGTCCTCCCTACCTGGACTTTGTAACAGGAGCAAGAGGCTGAACTGTCTCACTCTGTTCTCCATGGCTTCTGCTCTGATTCTGCCCCCCTCACCCCCAGTATAGTGACCAGTAAGAGAGTTCACCAGATCGGGCAGAGGGACATGAAGAACAAGTCTTGATGAGAGCCAACCTATGACTGAATTCTGACCACTGAGGACCTAGACCATACTAGGACTATGTGGAGCACACATTGAAACAGATGTCAAGAATGTGGCAGAACCAACAAAGCTGGTTTCTTGGGAAGGCTAGTATCATCAGCCACTCTGGCCTGCGAGAAGCCCTTCCTTATTTTCCCAGCCTAAAGGGCTCTCTCTCTCTCTCTCTCTCTCTCTCTCTCTCTCTCTCTCTCTTCTAGAACATTTAACTTTTATATTTATGATGCCTTGAAGTGTTATATTACAGTGTTTTGTCCTCATTCCTGGAACCCTTTTTTCCTCTTGCCTGATACCCCAAGCTCCTCTCTGATATAATGCAACTTCCCAAGACACCTTGGGAACAACAAAAGGTAGAAAGCAACCAAGATCAAATACTTTAAATTTTTAGTTTTTAGAAGACAGATTTCATGTTCCACTCTCCTTACAAGCCCCACGGCACTATGCAAAATGTGTTGATATGGCTTTTAAAAAATCATTGGCTTTTACAAGAAGTTGTTTGCTAGAGTATTTACATAGATGCCTATCTTGCAAACTTCATTCCCCAAACCATGCCCCTCCATCTGTGATTTTTCTTAGTTTTTCTTGATTTTGTTTGCCAGAGTTTCACCCTTTATATAGAGAATGAAAAGTGCATATTTGGAAGAGCTCATAGATTTGATTATTCTGCGTTTTGTTTTCAAAAAAGATAAGCACTGGGAGCTAAAGCTCAGTGGTAGAGCACTTGCATAGCATCCATGAGGTCCCAGTGAAGGTTCCATTCCCAGTGAAGTATGAAGGGGAGAGAGGGGAGAGAGAGAGAGAGAGAGAGAGAGAGAGAGAGATTTCAGCAGAATTATAAAGTCAAAATATAAACAAAAATGATGCTTACTGAGATAATTCTATAAAAACATTAGCAATAATGTTACATACAATATAATAAATTATAAAGATCCACTGGTCTTTTAATGCAGGGAAATAACAAGAAACACAAAATACTTTAAAAATGCATCATTGCCACTATACATGAAAATATTTCCATAAAAATTAATTTCTTCTTAAACATTTAACTTCTCAGCCCTTTGAATTTACAGTCAGTGAATCTCGTATTCTGCCAGAGTTTACGAGTAGTCACTGTCTCATTCCAAGGTCCCTGACTGATTAGTCTTCCTAAGCATCTGAAAGGAGCACTTCCTGTTAGACATACAGTACTTTCAGGCTAATATTTAATCTTAATTGGCAAGAAGTTTAGTGCAAATAAAGTTATATTTAGCAGCTTAGCAACGTTCTGATGGGTTAACCCTTCCCGCTTCCCCAGAGTCAACTAGTTTCTCTTTTCCTGAATACCAACCTTGACATTTCCAAACAGTTACTAAGGATAAGCCTGCTTGGTACACAGAGAGCTTCCCTGAAAGGCTTCAGTCACTGAGGAATGAACCACACCATTTTTCCACCTGGGAAGCTCCCTTTGGGTTGAGACCAAAAAAAGCGGTCCTGAATGGCAGTCATTTCTCTAAGGAGTGGAGTCAAGGTCATACCTGACTCTCACCCTGCTGCTTCTTTGAGCAGTGGCTGCTGCCCAGAGAAATCAGTCACCAGTTCACACTTACCCGTCGGATTCAGGGGAATACTGGGGCACAGGACTGAGGAATCTCTTAAATTCTCCACTTTCCAGTAATAATCTGGTTTCACTGATGTGAATGCCAAAAGGCACATAAAGAAATAGAGGGAAAGCCATCTGACTTCAAACCTGCTGCTTTCCACTCAGCCAAGATTTTTCCAGATGAACAGAAGCCAGAGAGCTTCCAGCCAGAGACTTTGGGCTTTGTCAGTTCCTCGAATTGCCTCCCTTTTTGTGACACATCTGTTCCACCTCTAGCCAAGGCCTGGCATTATTGCCTCAGAAACAATGTAGAGGCTGACAATACCCAGACCTGGGCTGGCTCAGGAGGAGGAATTTCCTAGGGTTTGAGTGCTGGCTCTGCCTCCTGTCTGTTTCCCAGCCCAAACACAGGAGCCTTCAAGAAGCTGAGATGCCAGGGTCCACTGAAATGTGGAGAAGTCATTTCACCCACCCTCTCTCTTTGCAGCTCCTAGAAGTTTTTATTTGCCCCTAGGTTCTCTCACTAAGTTCAAAGATAAGGGGCAGAGGGGGCCCACTCAGTCACTATATTCTTCTCTTTCCCTTGGGGCATGGAATTTCTCATACTGGTTGGCCAACTTCCATTTGTTGTGCTGATTTTTGAGTAATGCAGCCAAGGAAGTCTTCCGGGTGACATTTCTAGACACTTCCTTGCTCTTGACCTTCCTAGTTGGGGAAGAACTTTGGACTAGGGGATATACAGGGAAAATGGGCTTGCCCCGAGGTGCTCCCAAGAGCTGCCATATCTCCCCAGAGGTATTACTGCTCAGATATTGCCATGGTCTCTTCCCACTGCAGTCCCGTACAGTCACCCGAGAGGCCAACCTTTGCACTAGCAATTTGATGACTCTCTGATGGCCATGAATAGCTGCGAGGTGCAGCGGGGTATAGCCACAACTGGATCTCACATTTACATCAAGGGCAATCCCTGCCTTCTGGGCTCCAGAGACCAAGTTCTGAAGGGCCCCCAGATCGCCATGCTTGGCTATCCAGTGCAAAGCTGTGTACCCTGTCAGGAAGTCTCTGTGCAAAGCCAGCTGAGGGTCCTCCCAAAACAAAGTCAGTACGGCAGTCCAGGAGCCACTGGCAAGCCTCACAATCCACTCATGCTCCCTGGCATCTAGGGGGACCAGGGGAGACCTGTGCTCAGATCTATGGGGTACCACGATTGTAGACTCATCCCTGCTGGGGACCCACAAGCTGTGTGGCTGACCTCGCCTGGCCACAACAGCCCTGACGTCTGCCAGTTTCTGTGTCAAAGCCTCATCCACCCTTGGGCTGGGCAGGGCTCCCGCCCTGGAAGGTTTCCTGGACCTAGGTGGGCGCCGGCTCCTTTTCAGCAAGTCTTCACTGAGATGCTCCTCGTCAGAGGAGGACGACTTGACTCTCCTTGCCCGAGAGTTCCTCCGGACCGACCTCCGCAACTTGGGGGCTGGCCAGGGCGAAGGCTCCTGGGGGAGGTCTCCAAGCCCTTTAGCCCCTGTTGGGACCTGCCCAGAACTGGGTCCATCCTCTCTGTTCTTGAGGCCCTGAGGGTTGCGGCTGGAGCCGCGGTCTTTTGGAAACGCAGACAGGCCCGGGGCTGGACTCCTGAACTCTCCCCTCCCCGGGCCTCTCAAGATAACCTGCAGCCCCTCTTCAGAACCCCCCGGGGACTCTTTGGGCCCACTGCTGCTCTCCTCGCTGCCGTGGCTTTCTTGGTCCACAAAGTCATCCAGATCCTGGAGGGACAGCTGACTACGAATGCTACGAAAGATAGTGGGTGGAGGGTTCCTGGGCCAGGGCTCCGAGGACTCATCAGGAACCGCGGGCAAGAGGGAATGAGAGGAAAGAGGGGGCTCAGGCAGAGCTGAGTTAGTCTCTGAGGCCCGGAGGCGGGTTTCCGAGGTTAACTGGAGGAAGTTTTCTGGCAGCACTGACCAGACCCGAGTGGGCCCCCGGTCCCGGGCCTCGGACATCTGCGGGCATCTAGCCACCCACTCTCGAGTGCGTTGCTGCTGCAGGTGCTGGGTTGAATGGTTCAGGGAGCCGGCGGTAAACAGCTCCGGCTGCTCTCCGGAGGGAGCGGGGCGGGGCCGGGGAACGGGCGGGGACGTCAGGCTCCCAGCAGCCTCGACGTTGGCGGGAGGCAAGACTGGCGTTGCAGGTACCCGCGCGCGCTCGGCCGGCGCGCCTTCCCGCGGCCTCCGGGGAGTCCCGAGGTCATCCCGCGTAGGCCGAGCGCGCTCCGGCTCCTCCCCGGCGGCCGCAGGGTCGGCTGGAGCTCGGGGCAGCGGCTGTCCCCAGCCATTCTGCTGGCATTCCCAGCAGCAGTGGCCCCGCGTCTCCATCGCCGCGCACCTTGCTGGCGCCTGAGCGGCCACCGCGGTCCCCGGAGTCCTCCCTCCTGGGCTGTCCCTGGCCCCGCGGTGTGTCCCGGCCACTTCTCCATTGCCACCTGCGTCCTCCGGCCGGGCTGCAGCACCTGCTGGCAGCTCCTCCGGCACCGGGTCGCGCCGCCGGCGACTCCGCTGCGGTGCCTCTGCAGGGACGACGGTGGCGGGGCGCTGCAGGCCCTCCTCCCCCAGCAGGTCCCGGTACCTTCTCTTGAGCACCACGAACTTGGTGCCGTCGGGGTCCTGGCGCACTGCGGCCACCGAGTTGACGAAGCCTTTGAAGAGCTCGCGGCGACGCTGCTGCTGGCCTGGGGGCACCGCGGGGTCCCGCAAGAAGCTCTTGAAGTGACCCAGCAATGCGGCGTTGGTCACCCGGCCCCCTGCTTGGCACAGAAAGTCCAGGAGTGCCTCCTGGCTCAGCTCCTGTGCCATCGCTGCCTGCTCCCTTGGCCCCGGGGCGGCTGTGTGTCGCCCTCCCCGGGATCAGAAACTCGGACCTGGCGTGTGTCACCTGCGCCCAGGGTGGCGCCACCCGCCTCCATCCACCGCGAATCGCGGCCGGAGGGCCCGAGGGTCCCCAGGGACCGGCCGGAGCCGTGTCCCCGCGCGCGCAGCCCAAGTGGGAGAGGGCGGTGCCCAGGCCACCCCTGCGCGACACTGGCCTCTCGCAGCGAGTCCCCGCCGCCCGAGTTCCCGGGATAGGTCGGTCGGTTTCACCTGCGCCCTGGCTACGCCTCCTCTCTGGCTCTGGGGGAAGGGCCCGGCCCGCCTCCTCCTGTCCCTCCGCCCTCTGAGGTGTCCCCCAACCCCCGCCACCCATCCCGGATGAGTCAGGCTGGTCACAGCCGGGGAGAGCGCGGGGAGGTGAGGTCCGGGGGCGAAAGAACCGGCGGAGAACCGCTCTGCAGGACCGCAGCCGCTTCAGGCCTGGAAGGTGGAGGACGGGCAGGTAGGCGACCCGCTGGCTGCTCCTCGGAGTCCCCGCCAGGCAGGAAACAAAAGCAACAGAAAAAGGTTGGCTCCCGCCCTCTCCACGCGCGGTTCACCCTAGCCTAAGTCCACGCGGTTGGGTGGCGTTCCCTTGATTTGGGCTGTCGGGGAGAGACTTCAGATTCCCAGCGGTAGTGCTGGGACCTGGAAAACTCATTTTGCATTCAAAACAAATCTTTCTTGATAGGAAGACATTGCCACTGTTGCTGCTTGGGCACCAGCTTCAAGGAGTCGAGATCCACCCACCCAAGTCTGTACTGAGAGAGAAATCATCCTGAAAGCTGCAGACCAAGGTTGGTTTCTGCCTCTTTTTACCTCCATTATTGTCTTATGCTACACTGCAAGGGGAAAAAATCTCTGCGGTGGAGTCCAGGTATTTGGTGCCAGTTCAGGTATTTGGTACCTACCTAATGGTACTTTGTTTTTTATTTAGCCTAAATTGTCAGCAGAAGAGAATCCTACCATCTGCTTTTTGTTGGCTTCTTAGTGAAATCTTTACTTTGAGAATGGAAGGTTTCCTCCACACATTCAAAGTGAGCACATGATGGCCTGGCCTGATTCCTCCTGGCATTGGAAAGGATGCTTGTCTTTCACTGTCTTTTGAAGGGCTGTGGGCTACACCTGACACACCTTTCTAGAGTAGAGCTGAAGCTTTCTTTAGTCTCTCAAGGAGGGGAGTGTTAACAGCAGCTTTCCCTTTAACAGCTGTTTCCCCCTTCATTTTCCTCTGAATGTTGATCTTTCTGGTCTGTGAGATCCTGGATTCCTCTCCGAATTCTTTATCAGGAATGGGCTTGCATGCTGTGCATTATCTACATAGTTATCTTTCGTGGCATTGAGCCCCCTCCTTCTTATCAGGGCCTTCAGATGTCTTTCTCTTAAGACATTCTTGGTTACCCTCTGCCCCAATTGCCATAGCACACATTGCCTGTGTCACAGCATGATTTCATGGCTGCCATGCTTCCCAGAGTAAGCTCTATTTTCTCCTCCCCTGGTATTTGGTATTTCTTCTCCTATTCTCATCTTTCCTTCTTTTCCTCAACAAGTCTTGATTTTTCATGATTTCCTGTTCTTTTTACTAAGAGAGTAAGTATGTTGAAAGTATGCTGGTCTTATCTGTCAACACATTTTATCATGGGCCATTCTTTTTCTTCCCAGCATGGGGGTCAAACCCTGGGCCTCATGCATGGTAGGCAAGTTGTCTGCCACTACCACAGACCAATCTTAATGACTTCCAGATAGGCCCACCAGAAGAGCTTTATTTAAAAACCCAACAGTCAGTACCCTGGTACTTTTCCATGAATGACTTGGAATCCTTGGCTTTAAATCATCAAGTTCAGAAAGAAGAACTGTTTGTCTATTTGGGCATTTTCTAGAATTGAAATCCAGTACTGGGTTTAAAGGTGAGAAATTATTTCCACTGATGTCTCATAGCATTGAGTCCTCACTGCAGTTATTAAAACAAAGGTTTTGTATTACACTTCAACTTTCTCTTGTATTTGTTCCCTGGTGTTGAGTCCTGTTAGGATTCACAGAGGTATGGGAGGGGGTTCAAACAGAAACTTCAGGTGGACATTTCAGTGTGGCAAGTGGAGAGAATCCCTCTTTGGTGCCTTGCAAAACATCTGGTTTCAGAATAATGGATATGTTGCAGAAGTAGGCCATGAACTAGAATGAGGCTTGGACTTGAAGCACTTAAGATGAGAGAAAGGAGAGGGGCATCAAAGGTGTGGTTCTTGGCATCAGTTATCTTAGCTGAGGGAGGAATCAGTAGGCCTGCGATTGCCTTGGTGTTAGCATGTGCATTGTCCTTCACTTGTCTGGGGTAAAGGGATGGTTAGTTGGAATGTTCTACGCCTTACCTCAGGGAGCACTTTCCTGCTCCCCTCATATTTAATTCATCATTTCCAAAAATATTTTTTGGCTACATTGCTGTGGCTCTGCTGGAAGTGGGCATAAAGAAGAAAAGGTTCCAGAGAACGCTATTTCTTGGGAGCAACAGACAAGAGGAATAACAAGAGTTTGCATGCTGCCTGATTTGGCAGAGGCATGCATCACATGCACAGGTTGAGAGAAGTCTGTGAAGAAAGAACTCAGGTTCAGCTTACTTTGTATGAAAAAGGTAAGAAAAATGTTCAAGGGAGCAGGCACCTCTATGCAGAGGCACAGATCTGACTTAGCAGAGCTATTTTGGGGAGTTAGCTGCTTGGCTTGCTTCACCTACTTGGTTTTAAGGAAGAGGATGTGTGATCTAGGAAACTGCAAAAGTAAGATGAGAGTCAGTGGAGGAAGAGGTAGAGAGCCCCCCCTCCCCAAGGGAGAGCCTTTTAAGAATTTTTCAGTGGGAACTGGAGAGATGGCTGAGTGGTCAAGAGCATTGGTTGCTCTTGCAGAAAACTCAGGTTCATTTCCCAGCACCCACATAATGACTAACAGCCATCTATAACTCCAGTTCCAGGGGATCTGATGTCCTCTTCTGGCCTCTGTGAGCATTGTATGACATGGGGACACTTACATACATGCAGGCAATACATTCATGCACATAAAATAAAAATAAATAAATCAAAAAAAAAAAAAAGAAAAAAAAGGAACTCTCAATGAGTCACAACCAGACAAGTTGTACTTTAGAAAGATGTCCTAGGGGTAAATTCTAATTTGGAATTGTGAATAAGAAGATTATAATAATGAGTAAAAAGAGCACATGCATAGCATTACAGCATTTAACCACACCAAAGACAGCATTTTGATTTCTCAGATTTTAAAATGTAAAAAGAAGTACCTCTTAAAATAGAGCAATGACAGCATGTTTGAAAAGGTTCTTTTTCTTAGGAAAGTTAAGTATATGCATATTGGGAGGTCAGTTTTGAGGACGGCACAAGTGGTGTGACTTTAATGTTTCTGTTTTTGTTTTTTAAAACAGGGTCTCACAATGTAGCCCTGGATGGCCTGAACTCGTTCTGTAGACCAGACTGACCTGGAACTTATAGAGATCTTGTTTCTGCCTTCTGAGTGCTGGGACTTAAGGTATGTGTCACCGTGCTCAGCCTGAGTTTAATGTTTCTTTCTTTAAAAAATTATTTATTTTTATTTTATGCACATGAATGTTTTGCCAATATGTATGTAAGTATATCTGTGTTGTGCAGTGCCCATGGAGGTCAGAAGGCGGCGCTGGATTCCCTGGACCTCGAGTTACAGACAATTGTTAGCTGCTGTGTAGGTATTGGGAACTGAAACCAGGTCCTCTGCAAGAGCAGCCAGTACTCTTAACCACAGAGCCATCTCTCTAACCCAGTCTTTAATGTTTCTTAATAGCTTAATGGCATTATAACTCTTTAACTGTATGAAAATATATCACTCTTTCATTTGAAAAAGACACTCAAAAACAAAAAAACAATAACAAGGCTAAATATGGTGTTGCACTTCTCTAATCCAAATACTCAGGGCAGAGAGACATAATTGTGCATTTAAGGCCATCCTGGGCTACACAGTGAGACCCTGTCTCTAAAAGGCAGAGAGAGAGAGAGAGAGAGAGAGAGAGAGAGAGAGAGAGAGA